TTATCTTCTTGAACGACCCCGATCTGGTATTTCTTTATCCATATTTGGCACCGGAATACTTTGAACAACAAAAAACTCTTAGACATCAATAAACAAATCATCTCAGACACACTCTCTCAATGTAGACAACTGAGCTTTAACATCATCAACTAATTCCATAGCAAGCACAATATTAAGATCTTTTGTTTGCAAGATTTTCAAAAGTTCATTTGTGATACCAAACAACTTTAACATAAGCTTCAAAATAAAAGCAAATTTAAAGCTCTCAATTTTTTCTATCAAACCTGCCGCTTGAGATGGTCCACGCTCATCTTCATCAACAATGCTAAGCACCTCTAACATGGAGGACCACATCTGATCCAAACGAATCAAGGTAGTATAATGTGAACCCCATATAGTATTCCCGGATCTAGCGAGACTAGATGATTGGTGCAAGTCCTTTCCTTGATATATCTCACACTCTCAAGTCTATTCAAAATATCTTGGTGTTGTGCCTCCGTCAAAGCATCATTTCTCTTGAAAGATGCACATGTTGTGGTTACAATCAAGGAGATATACTCAAAGAAATCATGAATAGATGAGCAACAACTAACAACTGACACAACCTCCAATTGCAAACAATGAGCATAACAATGAACATAGAAAGCATAAGGGTTTTTGTTCTGGTCTGGCCAAATTCCTAGGCATGGATCAATCCACTTCTACATCCAAGATGACCCAACAGCTTTGACCCAATCAATTGGAACAGATAAAGGACACCTCTTCCCGCAACTGCTTTTGCCCTTCAACCTGGGACACGTGGTCAGTTGTCCCTTTAGGACCAACGTGACCACCGCTGCCCTCGGCAATACCTCTGTCTGCACCTGCTTCTGCCCCTCGATCAGGGACACATGGTCTGTTGTCCCGCTAGGACCAACAAGACCATATATATCCGCTCAAACATGCTAGTCCTTATCCTGCCAGCCACACGAGGACAACCACCCAATAATGGCCAGATTCATCTTTGCTCATGAGCACCTCTCTGCTCATCATAACGGCTAGCTTCCTCCCCGATCTACTCGACACACGTACTGCAGACACCCAGGAAATGCTCATAAGCGCTTTTGTCCGTCATCTCATCCTTGCTCGATGCAACAACTAGTTACGGGCATGAATGCCCATTTTGACCAAGCCCTGGCAGTTACCTATTTTTAAGGACTCGCATATATAGACCCCAAAATAGGGACCAATGGCCAAGCACCAGGGGCATTATATAAATTGTTATGTTTTTGCATTATTTCATTTGTTACGTATCTTACTTTTATACTTATGTTGGACCATATGTTGTGGATTTTTTATTACTATTGATACTTCAATGCCATGGAAATAAATTAATTTGATTATTCCACTGCCGAATCGATTATTTTGAATAAATGAAGTAATAAAGTGACTTGAGGCTTTATATATTTTTGAAATACGCGACATTCTACTTGTGTGCTCTGATATGTATTTTGTAGATTACACTATAATTATTATTATAGGAAAGTGGTGTGTTACAATACACGTTGAGTTTCTTTCTTCCACTGTGTGACGTCACTAAGTATGACTATTATTGTGACTTGCCTCTTTCAGGATATGAATTGGGTGGTGAAAGATTCATAAGGTCCATCCAAGAATCTATGGTTCCACCTAGGAAAGTCTTGAACCATTTCATTGCGGACCCGTTCAAGTTCAATGTGAATAGTTTACACTTTACCATCCTGTGGGCGTGATAATAGTCTAAACAATTATATATGTGCTCAACATGTTCATCTAGGTCTCTGGTTCTATCGTATCACTACAACTTCAAAGGCTTCTATAATGACCTTATCATATCAATATCAAGGATGTAAACAAATAGATGGTTTTTTTCTCTAGAACACGATTGTCTTTGCCATATCTCTCCCTCATTTGAGGACGATAAACTTCTGGGGGAGTATGGCTACCACCCTCCCTTCAAGATTGAGGGGGGGGGGGGATTCATATATCTTCGATGTGGGTTGTGAGAAGGCGGCCTCAAGGTCTCTCCTTGAGGTAGTACTGCTCTAATTGAGGCTAGTTCAAGAATGTCAACTTAATTTCCTAGGGAGGCCTCCTCTTGCACAATACTATTTCTTGGTGTGACACGTTGAAAACTTTCTTCAATTTCGTAGAGCCTTTATGCAAAGAACTACAAATTATGCTGTTATACCATATTATAAACATTGTTTAGTAGATATGTGGCTCCATGTATTCTAAGGTTGGCCCGAACAATTGAAGGTTAGTGAGCATTTCTTGTTTGTGCCCTACATGTAGTAGTGAAGGTCGATGTGATGGTTCGACTTGGTGGAACTATTGTGTAGACTCAAAGAATGGAAGAGCTTGGAAACTCATTAGTTAACTCTTGGTGGAGTATGATCTTGTTGTAAAGGATAAGAAAAACATGTTAAAAGGACTAAATCCTCCTCTATTTGAGGAGGAGGTAAAGGTTTAACAACTTCAGCAACTACAACATCGACTTGCCGTTGAACGACATATAGAGTGGCTTTAAATGCCAGCATGTTTGATGAATCAAAGGATGGATCTATGGGAAGAGAATGTCGAAACTTCAAGGACGAAGATAAAAAATGGAGATATGAAACTTCTAGGAAGGAAATCTATATTTTTGGATTGAAGGAGAATTGAATGTGGAAATACGTGGAGATCAGATTTCGATTCTCATAGACAACACTAATATTCTACGGTGGAACCAGAGTTGTTTGGTGAACTATGCAATAATGTTTCACTACAGTGGAAAGGGGGATGACCTACATGGTTACTACTCTAACGACAAAGTTAGAGGGAGAATGAAAAGAGATGTGAAAGTGATAATTGTTTTGAATATCTGAGAATGATGCATCTTTCACTTTATATAATTAGGACAATTAAAACTATCTTCGAGAGACGTTGTGCACTAGGCGAACAACTATTTGATTGATCTGGATGATGGATGATACATTAGAGAGTAAAATTGTCTATTTTAGGTGAGAGCAAGGTTGCACATGTTCCTCATATTCGATTCCCTCACTCTTTCCTCTAGACTTTTTATCTTAAATACCTTGCAGACGGCCTAGAACAAGAAACGTTAATATGCTCATAATTATTTAATTAGCATACATTATTAAAATTTTATTTTTCATATTTTTAACAAAAATAATTATCATAAAATATTTTTTAAAAATGTTTTATTAACATGCTAGAATATTTAAATCCTAAACCCAATAATATAAAAAAAGGCAGCTAAAAATAAACTACTTGAAACCTTTTTTTAGGTACAAGAAATAACTATCTACTATATTATTTATAAAATGAACGTCACATAAAATTAAAGAAAACATATAAATTGTTAAAAATGTGTGCCAAAAAGCCAATAAGTTATAAATAACCCCCGCGCCATATTCAAGAAATAATAATATTTTCCAACGTAGCATCAGATGCTTCCAAACGTTGCCATGTGCACGCTGCCGAATTCAACAATTCTGAATTCGAACGTTGCTAATTCTCTTCTGTCTGTTTTTTTCTTTCACTTTCAAATCTTGTTGGAATTTTCTCATCCTTTTATTATATACTTTTATATATTGAAAACATCTTTATCCACTGTGTGTGATCAGTGCAATGCTGTACCTTTTTTTCTATAAATATTTTGTTTTGGAAATACTAATAAATGCTCTCAAAATATTAGCTAAGAAATAATTTTGGTTGGTGTGTATTTTGTCAGTTTTCAAAGTTTGGGTATTGAATATGATTTTGAGTTTATCTATCTTTTTTAGTATTAAATGTGTTTTACTGTTTATGAAATTTATAAAAAATGTTTTTAGTTCTCGAATGATCACATATTTCAGTTTTTATAAATCAAAATTAAATACTAGCTTAAAAAAAAAACAAAAAATCATAATTTTGTAATTTGCTTAGTCTTATATAAGTTTATAGTAATTTATATGTAATCACCAAATAAAATAAATTAATTGAAAATTATGGATAAAAACATTTTAGTGGAAATTCTTTATTGAAATTGTTTGGTCATCTTCTTTGAAGAAGGTTATCCATGGACAAAAAGTTACATTTTTAATAAGCGCATATAAATATCTCCAAAAGGAAATGATATACATTATTTAGAATAAAGAAGATTTCAATTATAGTGTAGAATAAGGTGGACAATAAGAAAGAAACTAATTAATTCAAAAATAGTTTGAGATTCGATTTAGTAATTAATTTATTGGATTTGAATCATGAATCAAATGAGTCGAAATTGAACTCAAAATTAAATTTGTAAAATAAGTGAATTGAATTTGAACTATGTATAATTCGATTCGTTTGGTTCATAAATTAACTCGATATATAAGTTTCATGAAGATATCAATGTTTAGTTTTCATATTTATTTATATCATTTGAAATATAATAAAAATAATTTACAATTCTATTGATTAAAAAAATTCAAATTCAATATAGTAAAATATATGTTACAAACTTAAGTTATAATATTTTATTATTCGATCATATTACCTATTTTTGATGATAATATCTTGAATTACAAATATTATTTTGAGATGAAATTTATATTATATAAAAATATTGTCTATAATTTTTGTAAATACAATAAGGATAAATAAGATTGTTCTAATAAATCGAATTTGAGTTAGAAAAAAATTCGTGATAAATTCGAACTCAAACTCGATCAATTCGTAACGAGTTAAGTTTGAGTTGAAAAAAAAAAATCGTGATAAATTTGAACTCAAATTCGACTATTTTTTAACGAATCGAACTAAACTGATGTGAGTTCAATTCGACTCGACTTATTTTCCCCAATAGTGTAAAATCAAAACACCCTATTTTAACTTTTAAATTGTTTTAAGAAACCGATTTGAATTGTTAAAAAAAAAAAACGGATTTAAAAAAGAAACCTTCTAAATTGGTTTTTCCTTTTTAAAATATTTAAAACTCCTAGCTGGCTTTAACCACCAACCTTTTCTCTCTTACTACACCCCCCACTTTCTCTCACTCACTACCTCTCTTTCTGTTCCTTCTCTCTCTACTTGCTTCAATTTTTTTCTCCATTTTTTCTTCACTGTTTCCTCTCCATTTCAACTTTCGCCGGCATACTGAACTCTTTTCTGAATTCCCGGCGAATTCACAGCTACACTAGTTCGCCGGAGAAAATATCTTACTCTTTTTTACTAATTTTCCAGCAAAATCAATGCGACCCAGATTTTAGAATCGCACTGTTAGATCCTCCCTCGCCGCAAAATCTTATCTTTTCTATTACTCCGGCGAACCCAATACGACCCTGTTTACAGAACATCACTCCGAGAGCCTCATTCAACTGAAAAAAAAATTCAATTTTAAAGAATTTTCCGGTGACCCATTTTAAAGAAAGTCACTCTGAGTGTATTTTCCGTCTATCTTGCTCTTCACCAATGTCGATCTTCGACGGAGCTTTCATCAACACACAGCTCTCGAAACACACATCGATCTTCGGTCTCCGTTTATGGGTTGTCATCGGAATCTTAATAGGCGTCGCCATCGTTTTCATCCTCTTCCTCATCTCCCTCTGTGTAGTTTCCCGCCGCCGCAACCACCGCCGTACTGGCGACTACAAAATCCCCGGCGCCACTCCTGCTAAGGAAATCCAACAGATCGTACACATTCCAGGTCCCCACATGCTCCGGCGACCAGCTCCGGCGAATGTACCGGAGATCCACGTGGACATCGGGAGGCAAGAACACAGAGTGGTGGTTAAATCGGATAAAGTTTCAAGTGGTGAGAGTAGAGGAACAGCGGGAAGTGGGTGTGATACGACGTCGTCTTTTGGGAGTGGAAGTGTCGGTGGAATTGGACCTGAGGTATCACATCTTGGTTGGGGAAGATGGTACACTCTGAGAGAGCTTGAAGATGCTACTGGTGGGTTGTGTCCGGAAAATGTTCTCGGTGAAGGTGGCTATGGAATTGTTTATCATGGAGTACTCACTGATGGTACTAAAGTTGCTGTCAAAAACCTCTTGAATAACAAGTATGTCTTCTTTTTCAGATTTTTCATTTCGGTTTCTTATTTGTGTTTTTGTCTCTGTACACTAACATGTTTCTATCTTTGTGTCTGTTATTTAATGTTATGTCTTTTGTTCATAGCTGTGATCATTCATCATTCGGTTTCTTATTTGTGTGAAAATGTTTCTGTTAACATGTTTTCACTATCTGAGTATGGTTATTAAGTTCATAAATAATTGTTCTTTGTTGTCTTTAAGTCTTCAATAATTTTCCTGTTGGCAACCAGCCATAGTTGTTCCATGGAAGGACAAGACAAATGAATTTTGATGTTTTTGTTTCGTTCTGAAATGCTTGACTAAGTTTTTGCTCAAAAAACGCAACGTGACGAAAGAAAATTGGATGTTTGTGTGAAAATGTTACTGTAAAATTCTTCAATAATTGCGTCTTCTATTATTTAAATGATCCCAGACATATAGTTGTGATCTTTGCTGTCTTTAAATCTTCAATTATTTTCTCGTTGGTTGGCAACTAACAAGATATATTCTGGGCAGTATATGGATTGGGCAGCGATGTCGACTTTTTTTTATGTAGGCCAGTATTTTCTTTTTACTTTAACTAGTGGTTCCACTTTGTAACTATCTTTTATTTTTGTGTTATTCTTAAACTACACCCTTATGAGTTATCATTTAAGTGGGGGCTCCAAGTGAGGAAAATAGTTAAGTTTCTTTTCAGCTTTTGGTTAGCGCATGGCTGGAGTTTTTACCTTTTAATTTCTTCAAGTTGCGGTTAATGAAGGTTCTTTGGTAGGGTCTTGCATTGTCTTTTATCTAGAAATAAGTATAAGTACTTCATGTTTAACTTCTTCTCAGGGGCCAAGCAGAAAAAGAATTCAAAGTCGAGGTAGAAGCAATTGGTCGAGTGCGTCATAAAAATCTTGTTAGGTTGCTTGGATACTGTGTTGAAGGGGCCTACAGGTACTTAATATGTTTTTCTTGAAAGTTGGAAGAGAAAAATTGATGCTACCAATTTTGTTTTGTTTTGAAGAAATGTAAGATTTGAGGTATGCCATTGTTTTGCAGGATGCTTGTGTATGAATACGTCAACAATGGCAATCTAGAACAGTGGTTGCATGGAGATGTTGGACCTGTAAGCCCTTTGACATGGGAAATACGCATGAACGTTATATTGGGAACGGCGAGAGGGTAATATCATATTTGTGATTTATCTACTCACATTGCAATTCATGTCGATTCGCGAATGTTTTGATCACCGTGCTTATTTTATTATTTGGTGCATTTTCAGCTTGGCCTATCTTCACGAGGGTCTTGAACCGAAGGTTGTTCACCGAGATGTGAAATCAAGCAACATCCTCATTGATCGTCAATGGAACTCCAAGGTTTCTGATTTTGGGCTTGCCAAGCTTTTGTGTTCCGAGAATAGTTATGTCACGACTCGAGTAATGGGGACATTTGGGTCAGTAATTAGTATGATTAAGCTAAGCATTTTCCTTGTTGTCGTTTCGATATTACTCTTGAGTTTTTGAAAGGTCAAAAGATTGAGATTCACTTGTATATATCTTGTTCTTTTTGTAGTTATGTTGCACCAGAATACGCTTGCACCGGAATGCTGACTGAGAAGAGTGATGTTTATAGCTTTGGGATACTTATCATGGAGATAATAACCGGGAGAAGTCCCGTCGATTATGCTAGACCACAAGGAGAGGTTAGAAACTACCACTAAAAACAGTTTTTACTATGACGCACTGACACCATAACACCTGATACGACACATACACGTCGACGCCATTGATAATCCGAGAAAAATGTAAATTATTGAACATAACGGTCTTCAATTTGAAATGTCGGTGCGACATAGGTCTATAGACTGTTCCTACCACACTTATTGATGCAGTCTACTCTCTTTTTTGGTTAACCATGTTTGTTGGAGTGATTACAGGTTAATTTAATAGAGTGGTTGAAGACTATGGTTGGTAATCGAAAAGCTGAAGAAGTAGTTGATCCTAAACTACCCGAGTTGCCATCTTCAAAGGCTCTTAAACGCGCTCTACTAATCGCTCTTCGGTGTGTTGATCCAGATGCAACAAAAAGGCCTAAAATGGGACATGTCATTCACATGCTTGAGGCAGACGACCTATTATTCCACAATGTATGCTCTTCTTACCTTGTTCAAAATTACATTCTCGATATGATTGTGTAATCTGAGATTTATCGAACTTTTCTTTTCCGTCATGTTTATAGGATCGCAAAACTGGAGGAGAGTCTTCACGATCCTCCCTTCACGATTTTCAACAAGAGCACGAGAACTCGAGTTTGGACAAGAGAACAACAGATGAAGGAATCAGTGTTGAAAGTGAACATGGTAGTGGTAGAAGTAATCATCAACCTACTAGGGGTAGATGAAAATAGTGTGATAAACTATATAGAATATGTATTTTAGTTTTTTTATTCATATTTATTAGTTTGCCGTTATTTATTTTAATCTCAATTTATAAAATGAAATTTGTATCTGTTTATTTGTTTTTCTTATTACACAAATTTTACCCCTGTTGTAACCAACCCTAATTTGGGATTCATATGTATACTGTGATTTGTTATTGTAAAATAAAAATATTTATTACAATTAGCCTTTTGTTTTACTTGTATGATTTATATTTAATACTCGCGCTGTCCCATATTACAAGACAAATTTACTTTTTAGATTTGTTGAATAATTAATGTATCTGGTCTATATAAAGACCAAATATATTAATTATTCAATGAATTTAAAAAGTAAATTTCTTTAAAGAGGGAGTATGTAACTTTCATCAGTGTTGAACACTTTTCAGTTCTTATTCTCTTTCCTTTCATTAGTGACACTTTTTCAAAGTGTTAACAAAAATAAAATCAGTTCCCTTCTGTTTATATCTTGGTTCAGTCTAAAGACAGACTGTTTATGATGTTTGCACACGTGTTTGGAATATTTAGAATCAAAATTGTCTCTTTATCTATTAAATTTAATTTTGTAACAAAATTCAAAATTATTTAATAATCTTAAAAAGAAAGATTCTTGTGGTGAAGATGTCGAGAACCATACATTAATGAGTGGTCCAATATTAAAGGATATATGGTCCTAAAGAATATTAAAATTTGGACTGAATATAACTTAATCCGAAAAACTAACTATAACGAGATTTGAACAGTTACACATGCAACATTGAATGTTACTATTTGATCTGAGGTGGATTTGTAACAACTGCCGGAGTTGACAATATGTGGAGGGGGAGGAGGACGACGATAATGTTGTTCATTGGAAGAGATTAAAGTGAGTTGTGACGTTCAAGTTAATTTTTGATTGAGCGAGTTAAAGAAAACAACAACATCTGGGTGAATTCTATCCAATTTGAGATATAATCTAGATCAGTTGCGCGAAGATGAAACTATGTTAAAGAAAAAGTACAATTTGAGTATACATGTATATATAATCTTGGTCCCAATTAGAATGCTTGTTGAGCAAGAGACCCCAGCTATTTTGAGAGAAAGCAACAACATCAATGCCAACTCCACATGTCTTTTTGGTTCTGTTTTGTGCTGATTTTGTTATGCATCATAGGCAACATTTTACGCATTGGATGCTCATGATGAGTGATTAAATGATTATTTCTTGTAGTGATGAACTTTTCAAATCAAATTTATAAAATGATCACGAGTATTGGATGAACGACAACACCTTTATTTAGTCCATTTGAACATAATAATTAGTTAGAGAGAAAGAGGATGCAGTTTTAAGAGTAAAAAAACTAAATTTCTAAAATAGATTTTGATCAAATATTTTTACTTCAACACAAGAGTTTTATTTATAAAATCACACTAAAGAAGCTCATTTAACGCATTGTACCTATACGCTGCATTGCATTTCATTAAGACTGATGCATTGCAAGAAATAGAAAAAGTAGTATAAATGTTGCATTTATAGTTAAGGAAATTTGTTACAATGTGTGATGTGGAGAAATAGCAAAAGTAATATAACGTTGCTTTTGTAGTTAAAGAAATTTGTTATGGTGTACGATGTCAACAAATAATTTTATTATTTAATATCTAAAAGTAGAATTCTTGTAGTGAAGATGTGCAGAACCATACATTAATGAGTGGTCCAATATTAAAGGATATATGCTCCTATAATAAAATAAAAATTGAACTGGATGTAGCTTAATCTGAAAATCTAACTATAGTATGAGATTTTATCCTTGGTCCCATTTAGGATGCTCTCTGAGCAACAGACCCATCTTCCAGCTATTTTTAGAGAAAGCAACCGCATCATTGCCAACTCCACATGTATTTTTTGTTCTGTTTTTGTGTTGATTTGATACGCACCAAATATGTAACAGAATGCGTATGTTCTTATTCTCATAATGTTACTTACAATTACATACGCACACTTTTTCTTACTACTCCATTCGTTTCAAATTATAAGGCTTTTGTCAAAAATATTTGTCTCAAATTTTACAATTTTAATATATAATTAATGACTTTTTGTTTAATCTACTCTTTATTATTTATTTCTCTTTTTTCTTTCTATTCTTTTAACTTCGTCTTCTAATATACTTATTAAAGAGTATTTTTATAAAATATTGTATTATTTCACTTTTCTGTAAAATAATTATTGTATTTTTTTTCTTCTTAATATCCAATTACCTTATTGTCGGGACTAATTTAAATGTCTTTCAAACAGAAAAAACATTACCTTAGCTCAAACTAGTTAAGAATGATTCTTATAGATACAAATAGAGAATTTTAGCATACATCCATTTTCTTATACCTAACATCCCTTAATAGTAATACTTTTACCATAATACCATAGCATTTAAAGCTTAACACTTTCATCATTCAAATTGTCATTTTTATTTTTGAAAAATCTTGGATTTCTATCTTCTTTTTAACTTCTACAGTGTGTATTGTATATGCATTATCCATCAGTGTGTACCTCACACTTTACAATATAGAAGAAGTAGAGTTAGACGGGGTAGAGATCATGATGTCGAGTTAGGTGTTGTTGATGTTGAAGATGTTGAGTCAGTGATACAAAATGATATGGAGGTTTCTCTTCAGGGTGATATCGATATTTCTCATTAGACTTATATAAAGGTTTTTGTTGTAGTTGATACGAAGTCATTTGTACACACATATGAAAGGTTCTGTCGAGGGCCTAATGACCCTATCTTATTCACTGGATATGCCGATCATGTTACATTTATATTATGGTAGAGAGATGTATAAATATTTTATTTTAAGTTATTTTTATTTATTACTAATAATTGAAAGTAACTAATAGTTTATACTTTAATTGCTATAGGACCGTGCCTTATTGAAGGTGTTCTGGACTGGGCCTGCCCATGACCCAAATCACCAGTAAGGCCCAATCCAAACTGTGCCACGTGCTATGCTGGATATTAGACCCTCTGAGCATACCCCGGTCACAGGCTATAGGACTAATACGACCATGCCCGCCGTTCCTCCGACGAGAGACGTCCCTGACGAGGAACATCCCAATCCGAGCCTTGCTCGAGCACCCTCCTTGTAGGGCAGACTCTAAACCACTCCGGATGTTTCAGAGTCCTCAGAGCTCCGGGAAGATCGCGTCTTCACCTTCCTTATTCTTCGCAGAGCATCATCCAGGTAGGGGACCACACGCAGGTCCCCACTACTCACATAGAACCTGGCAGTCCCTTTGTTGGGCCTGTTTTTGTCAGCCCAACAAAGGGACCTTGGCCCAACGTTGGGGGCTATAAATACCCTCTATTTCAAGAGGGTCAGGTATTCATTCACACCTATATACAATTCACCTGCTCATTTCGTCTCTCACTTTATCATCGGAGTGTCTTGCAGGTACCCCCCCCCCCCCCCCCCCCCCCCCACCTTCTTCAAATCTAGTTCGAACCAGCTGTGACGGTCCAACTCTGATCAGGTACGATCAGTGGCGTCGTCTGTGGGAAACTAAGCTTCCCCGTCTTACAAACTTACAAAGACCAAAGCTAAAACCATCTTCCACTGTCATGGCTGACCAGACTCAGGACAATTAGAACGTCCGCGTCATCGAGGCCAACAACAACCTTGCCGACAACAACATTGGCCCCAACAACACCGGCATCATCGCCCATGTCACTACCCCCGGCGGCAACATCCCCGGAATCTCCAACTATCGAGATGGAGCCGCGGCCTCGTCTTTATCAGTCCCTCCTCAACTCGAAGAAGATAATTCGGTTCCCCCGAACTATCTAGCCGCTCAATTCCGTGAAGTTCCTGTCCCCGCCGGGGCAGACGCCACGACCAAGGAACTGTTCGCGGCAATCAACCAGACCAACTATCTCATCTCTGCCCAAGGGGAAAGACTGAGAGCACTAGAGGACGACCGAAGTCCCCCGAGGAGACACAAGAGGCCTCAATCCCCACCTCCTCGAAGAATGGAGGAATGTCCCTGATCTCCCCCGCGGAGACAGGACCAGGACATCTCTCGAAGCCCGTCGCCACGACCACAAGGGCGGCGACCCGCCTTGGAGAGAGAACCACTCATCGAGGCCGGAAGGCACGACCACAGACCTTCATGGCAAGAACGAAGACCTCCCAGAGACAGACACGGAGGAACATATCAACAGACACATCGCTCGAGGAACGTCCAGCATGACCAGGGCCATCGTGACCGATAATACATCAGGTCCCCGTCGCTCTCCCCGAAATAAAGTGATGAGGACGACCCCCGTGGTCCCCTATCACAAGCTATCATGGAGGCGCCCATTCCCCCGGGCATGGAAAAGCCTCAACACCTGAAAGAATATGATGGAGTCGCCGACTCGGTCGATCACATAGATGTGTTCGAGGCCATGCTGCACTACCATAACATCGGGGGACCAATCAAATGCCGGTTGTTCCCCACGACCCTCAGGAAAGCAGCTATGGATTGGTATAAGGGTCTCGCCCCGGGGTCAATTACCTCGTGGCAAAACTTGAAGAACCAGTTCATAAACTCGTTCACTGCGTCGCGGCAACATCCGAAGACCGAAGCGGCGCTCGAGGCCATCATCTAGAGGCAGGATGAGACCTTGAGAGAATTCATCAACTGCTTCAACCGAGAAGCCATCCAGGTCCCTTGCGCGGACCATACAAAGAGATACCTGCTAGAGAGGGGCTTCCTCCACGGCACAGAATTCAGGAAAGTCATGGGCATCGAACCACCCCGAACGTTTGATGCTCTCCTTGAGAAAGCCATGGCCTACATGGACTACGAGGAGAGGGAAGCGGCCAACAGAGCCCGTGACCTCAGGACTCACGGATCCAGCAGTAACCCGCGCCAAGAGGCTATCCCTCCTCGACGAACCGAAAAAAAAGAAAAGACGACAAACCCCGGGACATCCGAGAGCAAAGGGGGC